CTGGTCCAGAAAGTGTCAGAAGAATGCACCTGGTCCAGAAAGTGTCAGAAGAATGCACCTGGTCCAGAAAGTGTCAGAAGAATGCACCTGGTCCAATCACTCCCATTATCCCATACCTCATTGCACATAAATTGGAGGCAGTTAGGTCTCATTATTTGACACCCCCTATTTCGGACCATTTAGATCGACAAGATGACCACTGCACACGCCACCTTTTCCTGGGATGCTCAATATATAGAGGCGTGCTCACCGGAAGAGAGCGGCGAAGACGAACGACACAAAGCATTCTGTGGGAATCCACCAGTCTGATGAGTCTGATGATGATTCTTTCAGTTCAATTTGCAAACACCTTGCACAGGCCCTGGGCCTCGCCACACGGCAAACAGAACGAAAACGAAGCGAGTGCATCTTCTGCCCACGAAAGGTGGCAAAATACCCTCGGTGGTGTTTATAGCAACGCGATGAATCTGGCCATTTTCTGTGGTAAGATGCCCTCGACGTTTCGTTTTCCATTCTGTGCCGTGCAGCGATGCCCACAGCCTACACTGCCCTTGCTAATGAACAAGGACAACAAGTAAAACTTAACAGACACTTCAACAGCATGGATGATCACGATCACCCACATTTCCCTACCCTCTCTCTCACTTTCCTCACTCTGCATGGCCTCTTATCTTTAAGACCCTGCATTTGCTGTTCACAAGAACATGCATACAGCCGGGTGGGGGTGGGGGTGGGGGTGGTGGTGGGAGGGGGCGGTGGGAAGCAAAAAAATAATAAGAATAATAAAAAAAAAATAAACGCGATTTGATCACCACTCAAAATGAATAGACACAAAGAAGGGGGAAAACATCACAAATGCCCCTGAGTCCATGAAAACTCACATCACTGCCTCCTTTCACTCTTTTTTGAAGTTTTTCTGCATTTCCCTCCATCATTCACCGCTTACTTTCTCCCCTGCGTCCCCTCCCCCTCATGCTTGGAAGCCTGAGTTTGTTGTTCGCAAGGCCATGCATACACAAGGGGTTGGGCGGGGGGGGGAAGACGAGTGAAAAAGAGGAACACACATTGAAGATAAGATTGATCACCACTCAAAAGAATAGACGCAAAGAAGGGAAGGGGGAAGGGGCGCGGGGAAGAGCGAAAAAAAATTCAAAAAAGGAACACGCATAGAAGAAACACAAGATTTGATCACCACTCAAATGAATAGACACAACAAAGAAGGGAGGGGAGAGGGGGGAAAGGGGGGCGGGGGGGGGAATCGGGGGAAATCACGGATGCCCGAGTCCAAATGAACACTCACATCACACTGATCACAGTGACTGCCTCCTTTCACTCTTTTTTGCCGCCATTCCCTCCATCATTCACCGCTTTCTTGCTCCCCTCCAACTCATTCTTGCCAGGTGGTCCCCATTTGGTCATTGTTTCTGAAATCACAATGACAGCTGGCAGCACCACTATACCCACCCACATGCTGAGAGTGTGACAAATGGCAGTCGAGCAAGGTCGTCTAGGTGCGCTGAACGAGTACGATGATCCGCCGGACACGCTCACGGGACCTGCCTACCACTCCTACACTCCATCTGCCACTGGCAACTGCTCCCATAAAAAATGGGACAGGCTTCGTGGTCTTGCCTTGTGGCTCGTCGATGAGGGGCATCGGGACCCAGGTCGTCTAGGTGCTGAACGAGTACGATGATCCGCCGGCCACGCTCACGGGACCCGCCTACCACTCCTACACTCCATCTGCCACTGGCAACTGCTCCCATGAAACTGGGACAGGCTTCGTGGTCTTGCCTTGTGGCTCGTCGATGAGGGGCATCGGGACCCAGACCTGACCCAGTCGCTGAGGGACACATGGCAGTCGACCACAGTCGTCTGCCTCATTGGGACCCAAACCAGACCCAGTTGCTGGGGGACACATAGCACTCGATCACAGTCGTCTAGGTGTTGAATGATACATCGGACACGCTCACAGGGCCTTCCATTCCTAGGGCCTACGCTCCGCTGCTCTCGACAAATGCAAAACGAGAGTGAATCTTGCCTTAGAACGTGGAAAGATACACCGCGGCCATGATTTTTGTCTTTTGTGCATGCCGAGAGTAGTGGAGCAAGGCCCCTACTCTCCATCAAGCTGCTCCCATAAAAATCGGATAGGCTTCGTGGTCTCACCTCGCGGCTCGTCGGTGAGGCATCGGGACCCACACGTGACCCAGTTGTTGAGCGGGTGACACATGGCAGTCGAACACGGTCGTCTCTTCTAAGTGTCGAACGCGTACGATGATCCGTCAGACAGGCTCACGGGGCCTACCATTCCAACTCTCCATCTGCCAGTGCCCCACTTAATGCGATGAAGAACCAGCAACTGCTCCCTTAAATGGTCTCGCAACTCTCGCCTCGCGGCTCGTTGACGAGGCGCTGGGACCCTAGCCTAACCAAGTCGTGGAGGGACAACCCCCATCGATAAACGACAACTCCTACGCGTGATAAACTGAGGATGCCTGAGCAACATACGCAGACAAATGACCAACAACGTAAAGCAGTGTTAATGACAAACAGCCTCGTAGAAGAGAACCTGGGGTTGAAGGCGACCCGCCTGACAAATCCTTGAAACTTCATCCCAACTGCCAACGACCTGCACAAAAGAAGCAAGATTGCATCCCTTCAGAATCTAGTCTTTCTACTTTTTTTTTTTTTTTTTTTTTTTTAATTTGGACCATTTCTCGATTTATGCGTGTCATCCTTGAGCAGGGGCCATGCTAATCTTCTCTGTATCGTTCCAACTTTAACGGATGTCCCGAAGGACTCTTTTTTACTTTTTTTTCTTTTCTTAATTGGACCATTTTCTCGATATTTGTGTCTCGTCCTTGTGCAGGGGTCTGGTCCCACCTACCGTTGTCGAGTTTAGAAAACTTGACGGTGTGACGCCAGTTCGACATTAATAAATTCGAAACAAGAAATTAAAAAACCAAAAAAAAACGCTAGAAACCGCTTTTCTCCTTATTTTTGATAACGTAACTCGGAGAAATGAAACATGTCTGAAACAGTGGGAGTGAATGTCTCTGTGAAAAAGGGATACTCGCCGTGGCGAGGGGACAGGAGGTCACCATTTGTAAAATGGACGGGGACAACGTGGATGGCCAATTGCATTCATCGCCCGAAGAAGGAAACGAGTTTGATGCCAGACAGCCAAACACAGCTGTCAGAGTTCCTCCGTTTCAGGATGCAATGATGTCCAAAAAACCAAAAAAAAAGGAAAGGCACTGCAGTTGAGAAATGTACCCGACCCTCGGTAGGGTAGTTTTCTCAATGGAAAATGGTTTCCCGCCCAAACCAAAAGGGCCAAACCTCACGTCAAAGGAAATTTCTACAAAATGACAAAATCTAATAGGTTATTCTCCTGTATTTCCGTACCATTAGATCGCAATACATCAACGGCAGAGCTCCGTCCCACCATGCCGCACGTGGTAGAAAGCTCAGCGTTGAGAAAACTCAACGCCGTAGGTGGGACCAGACCCCAGGGGTGCCAGGGGCCATGCTAATCCTTTTCTTTTTTTTTTTTTCTTTTTTCTTTTTTTTTGAGTTACCGGGCCCATTACCCGGCTTCGGCTAAGAACAATTGAAGAAAAGTGAAAACTCAGAAACATGCATGGTCCACTACTCAAACTCTACGAAGTCACTAGAATTTGTGTGTCAAAAAGCCTCCCAGCTACGAATCAGATGGGTGAAACCTAGTCATCCACCTACGACCACCACCAGCATGGCTATTTTCAGCACGAATGGAAGCTCTTCCAGGCCTCATACTGCCATCAGGTTAGGTTACAGAGTTGCACCAATTTGCTCCAGCACCGGCCAGCGTTGCTCCAGTTACGACCACCGATGACCACTGAGACTGCCCCCGCAAACAGCCCCCCAGATCTCTCTACCAGGCCTCACGCCCCCACTAAGCTAGGTCACAGAGTTGCGCCACCTGGCTCCGGCTCCGGCCAGCGTTGCTCCAGCATCAGTCTTCGAGGGCCACCGAATTTTCGACCACCCTTCGCAGGATCACAGATGACTTGCCAGATAGCACCTATTCCTACAACCTCCTCGAGAGAGAGAGGCAAACCAAATGGAAAGAAATACTAAACTGGATGTTAGAATTCTTCGAGAGAGATCGCGCCTCCCTCCCACTACCCCTCCCCCCTCAGCCCCACACTGCCTCCACCCAGGCGAGTCACCCACTCTCCCTCGGCCCCAATATAGGACCAACTCTCTACCCCCCTTTCCACAGGAGCTCACAGTTCCCACCTAAAGCATGGCCCCCTGCCCCTTGCCCATTTCTGCCTCCGCTAGGACTGACGTTGACCCACACACCAGCCCCTGTCCCAAAATAGGGCAACCCCCTACTCTGCCCCTACCCTCTTTGAGACATTCACTCCCCACCTTCTGATGCCCCTGCAAGATAGAGCTTCCCCCACCCCCTTCTTACCGTTCAGCCCTCTGGGAACGATCCAATCCAGCCGACTACAGTTATTGATGACACACTAACCAAAATGTCGATCGCATTTTGGAAAAGCAGGGCCTCTTCAAAAATATGCATTAACCCCTGAAAACACCCTACTGAAACGGTTTTCACCTCTTTGCAGTAGCAGATGCAGATCCCAGGGCTCGATCCCTAGACCTCACCCTACCCGTGTACAGTACCTGTGTAGGCCCCGAGAGTTGAACCCGTGACCTGTGTACTAGTAAGCAATTGGTAGGCTGTCATAGGTCCGTAGGTAGCAGGGGTTCGATCTGTAGATCTGTAGAATAGAAGTCGTAGCGAGTTCCAGAAGTCTTAGCTGTAGTCCTTCTAGAAGGTCAGCCAGTGGGCAAGTGGGCAAGTGGTGAGTCAAGTGGTGGCCTAAACTGCAGTGCAATTGCAGTACGACTCCGGTAGGTTAGCAGTGAGTCCCCAAACAGTCAGCGGTAAGGTCCAGTCAGTCCCAGTCCGGTCCAGCAAGTACCACATAGGACTGTGAGCACCATGGGCCGATGGAAGAGGGCAGACCAACGAGTTTCAGAAGTATAAATCAAGAGGCAGCGCCCAGCCMTTCATTCATTCCTGCGTGAGCCATGCGGAAGCGCTGTCACAGCGACTTGTGCAAGGAGGTCTGCAGTGAGCCCGGAGCTGAAGTGGGCGAGAGAGAAGGAGCGTAGCATAGCGATAGGATAGTTGCGGCCATAGCCGCCATAGCTAGAGTTAGTGTGTGTGTGTGTGTGTGTGAACAGTGAGTTGTTTGGGCGCTGAGTCGCCATAGTCATTGAAAGTGAACTCATATCTGGGTTTCCATATCTCTGAGTTTTGAGTGGGCGCATGTCGCCAGTAGCAACTGTGCTACTGTTTACATGCATGAAAAGTGTGAATGAGGGCGAGTCTGATTGCACTACTTTTTTAAGAACAACCCACCGAAGAAAGCGCAGGACAGCAATAAGACTATTACAATTATTCCCCTGCTCCTTGCGCCAATCAATGTTAGGCAGCTCCCACCATGTGCACGTATCACCAATTTAAGAGAAGCAAAAAACTAGTTATCGGCGCGGGTCTTCAAAATTCATAGCTCTAATAGACTAATAGTAGAATTCCGAAGTTTTCGGGTTCCAAGATTAGAAAATCATGATAGAACTTTACTTGGGACTCTTAGAAATTATAGTCGAAATTCAAGGATACGTAATTATAGAACAGATCCCTACCAATTGTGCGGGCGATTCAGAATGGATAATATATGTTTGTGTATATGTGTGTACATGTAGATGAGAATGGACTTTGAGAAATTATAGTCAAATTTCAAGGATATGTGCGTGTGCGTGTGTACATGTGGATGAAAATTTGGCTGATCAGAAAATAGAGCATAAGATTGTGAGTTTATTTTCCCAAACTTGAGAAGCTGAATTTATAACTGTGTAAGCACTAGTGTGAGGAACAAGCCCTCTAGGGGCCCTATCAGGCATCACATGTTCTGGGCTAACGCCTCAGCAAGCCGAGTGCCCGCCTTAAGTGAAGGCGGCCCTGAATATTCGGCAAAGGCCAAATTTCGACATTTCCATATGTGGGTATTCGGGCTCTCGCAGCACGCCAGTTGGTTGGGTAGACGCGTGAGCCTCACTAAGCTGCATCGTACAGTTGGCCCAGGCCTTGACAGTTGCGCCTGGGCACATACACACAAAGCAGGGCCGATACATCGGGAAGCAGGCCATCGGCCTTTGAAAAACCAGTAAAGAGTTTATGACACCCCCTTCCCCCCCCCTCCACCCCCCCAAAAAAGGGGGTCTACGCAAGGGTTCACAACTTTACACTCTAAAGCAACTGCCGACGACTACCTCCAACTTCTTTCCTACCTTGCAAAGTTCATAGGCGACATGGGCACATCTTCTCCCACGTTTGGTATCTGCGGGGTTGACCTGACCAGACACTAGTCAAGCCTTGTGTGCCCGAACAGGGACTCCCGCTAGGAACTTTTTTATTTCTTTTCTTTTCTTCATTTTTTTTTTTTTACCTTTTTTTTTTTTTTTTTTGCATAACATTGTCTTATTTTGTATTTCAAATTTGATAAAAAAAATTAATATAACCCCAAGGCAAAAGTTGTTCAATTTTTTTTTTTTTTTTTTTTTTTTTTTTTTTTTTTTTACCTTTTTTTTTTTTTTTTTTACCATTTGTGGATATATATTGTCACATCACTACAAACTAAAAGAGCGCACTTTGCGGAACAAAGAATAAAAGCAAAAAACGGGCGCAGTGATAACATGCAAAAATAAAAATAAAAAGAAAAACAAAAAGAAAAAACAAGGGCAAATTGAAACCATTAAATTTCTCATTCTTCTTTGAACTCCACCTCCACTGTGCCTCTCACGTGCAAGGCTCGCCATGTTGATGAAGTTGAGCGCGAGCTGCCCCCATCCCCGTATGCCATA